GAAGTAGTGGTGCTTAGCAGTGAAGTAGTGGTGCTTATCGGTAAAGTAGTGGTGCTTAGTGGTGAAGTAGTGGTGCTTTGAGGTAAAGTAGTGGTGCTTTGAGGTGAAGTACTGGTGCTTAGTGGTGAAGTAGTGGTGCTTAGTGGTGAAGTAGTGGTTGGTGCCAGAGAAGTAGTGTTCCGTGGCATAGATGTAGCTGCAGTAGTACTAGTTGCAGTAGTATTAGTTACAATAGTACTAGTTGCAGTAGTACTAGTTGCAGTAGTACTAGTTACAGTAGTACTAGTTGAAGTAGTATTAGTTACAATAGTACTAGTTGCAGTAGTTCTAATTACAGTAGTACTAGTTGCAGTAGTTCTAATTACAGTAGTACTAGTTGCAGTAGCATTAGTTCCAATAATACTAGTTGCAGTAGTACTAGTTGCAGTAGTACTAGTTACAGTAGTACTAGTTGCAGTAGTACTAGTTACAGCAGTACTAGTTGCAGTAATGCTAGTTGCAGTAGTCCTAGTTCCAGTAGTTACAGTAGTACTAGTTGCAGTAGTACTAGTTGCAGTAGTACTAGTTGCAGTAGTACTAGTTACAGTAGTACTAGTTGCAGTAGTATTAAATGCAGTAGTACTAGTTGCAGTAGTACTAGTTACAGTAGTACTAGTTACAGTAGTACTAGTTGCAGTAGTATTAGATAAAGTATTACTAGTTGCAGTAGTACTATTTGCAGTAGTACTAGTTACACCAGTACTAATTGCAGCAGTAATAGTTGCACTACTACTAGTTGCAGTAGTTGTATTAGTACTAGTTACAGTAGTACTAGTTGCAGTAGTACTAGTTGCAGTAGTACTAGTTGCAGTAGTACTAGTTACAGTAGTGCTATTTGCAGTAGTACTTGTTACAATACTACTAGTTGCAGTAGTACTCGTTACAGTAGTACTAGTTACAGTACTCCTAGTTGCAGTAGCTGGAGTAGTACTAGTTAAAGTAGTACTAGTTACAGTAGTACTAGTTACAGTACTAATAGTTGCAATATTACTAGTTGCAGTAGTACAAGTTACAGTACTACTAGTTGCAGTAGTATTAGTTACAGTGGTACTAGTTGCAGTAGTACTAGTTGCAGTAGTAATAGTTACAGTAGTACTAGTTGCAGTAGTACTAGCTGCAGTAGTACTAGTTGCAGTAGTACTAGTTGCAGTAGTAATAGTTACAGTAGTACTAGTTGCAGTAGTATTAGTTGCAGTAGTATTAGATGCAGTAGTATTAGATGCAGTAGTACTAGTTACAGTAGTACTAGTTCCAGTAGTACTAGTTACAGTAGTACTAGTTGCAGTAGTACTAGTTACACTGGTACTAGTTACAGTAGTACTAGTTGCAGTGCTAATAGAAGCAGTAGTACTACCTGTAGTAGTACTAGTTAAAGTAGTACTAGTTGCATTAGTACTAGTTACAGTAGTACTAGTTACTGTAGTACTAGTTACAGGAGTACTAGTTGCAGTAGTACTAGTTACAGTAGCACTAGTTACAGTAGTACTAGTTGCAGTAGTATTAGATGCAATAGTACTAGTTGCAGTAGTACTTGTTACAGTAGTACTAGCTGCAGTAGTGCTAGTTACAGTAGTACTAGTTGTAGTAGTATTAGATGCAGTAGTAATAGTTACAGTAGTACTAGTTGCAGTAGTAATAGTTACAGTAGTACTAGTTGCAGTAGTATTAGATACAGTAGTACTAGTTGCAGTAGTACTAGTTACAGAAGTGCTAGTTGCAGTAGTAATAGTTGCACTAGTACTAGTTGCAGTAGTTGTAGTTGCAGTAGTGCTAGTTACAGTAGTCCTAGTTGCAGTAGTTACAGTAGTACTAGTTACAGTAGTATTAGTTACAGTAGTACTTGTTGCAGTAGTATTAGTTGCAGTAGTATTAAATGCAGTAGTACTAGTTACAGTAGTACTAGTTGCAGTAGTCCTAGTTGCAGTAGTTGCAGTAGTACTAGTTGCAGTAGTACTAGTTGCAGTAGTACTAGTTGCAGTAGTACTAGTTACAGTAGTACTAGTAGCAGTAGTACCAGTTGCAGTAGTACTAGTTACAGTAGTACTAGTTGCAGTAGTACTAATTAAAGTAGTACTAGTTGCAGTAGTACTAGTTACAGTAGTACTAGTTACAGTAGTACTAGCTGCAGTAGTACTAGCTGCAGTAGTTCTAGTTGCAGTAGTACTAGTTGCAGTAGTAATAGTTACAGTAGTACTAGTTGCAGTAGTATTAGATGCAGTAGTACTAGTTACGGTAGTACTAGTTGCAATAGTAATAGTTGCACTAGTACTAGTTGAAGTAGTTGTAGTAGTACCGGTTGCAGTTTTACTAGTTTCAGTAGTACTAGGTAAAGTAGTAATAGTTGCAGTAGTTGTAGCTGCAGTAGTGCTAGTTACAGTAGTCCTAGTTGCAGTAGTTACAGTAGTACTAGTTACAGTAGTACTAGTTACAGTAGTACTAGTTGCAGTAGTATTAGTTGCAGTAGTATTAGATGCAGTAGAACTAGTTACAGTAGTACTAGTTTCCGAAGAACTAGTTACAGTAGTACTATTTGCAGTAGTACTATTTGCAGTAGTACTAGTTGCAGTAGTACTAGTGGCAGTAGTACTAATTTCAGTAGTATTAGTTGCAGTAGCAATAGGTACAGTAGTATTATTTGCAGTAGTAATAGTTACAGAAGTACTAGTTGCAGTAGTACAAGGTGCAGTAGTTGCAATAGTACTAGTTGCAGTAGTACTAGTTGCAGTAGTACTAGTTGCAGTAGTACTAGTTGAAGTAGGTTCAGTAGTACTAGTTGCAGTAGTACTAGGTACAGTAGAACTAGTTGCAATAGTAGTACTCTTAGAAGTAGTCCTAGATGCAGTAGAACTAGTTGCAGTAGAGCCATGTGCAGAAGTACTAGTTGCAATAAAACTAGTTGCAGTACTACTAGTTACAGTAGTACTAGTTACAGTAGTACTAGTTGCAGTAATACTAGTTACAGTAGTACTAGTAGCAGTAGTACTAGTTGCAGTAGTACTAGTTGCCGTAGTACTAGTGGCAGTAGTACTAGTTACAGTAGTACTAGTTGCAGTAGTACTAGTTACAGTAGTACTAGATACAGTAGTACTAATTGCAGTACTAATAGCAGCAGTAGTACTAGCTGCAGTAGTACTAGTTAAAGTAGTACTAGTTGCAGTAGTACTAGATACAGTAGTACTAGTTGCATTAGTACTAGTTACAGTAGTACCAGTTATAGTAGTACTAGTTAAAGTAGTACCAGTTACAGTAGTACTAGTTGCAGTAGTGCTAGTTACAGTAGTACTAGTTACAGTAGTACTCGTTACAGTAGTACTAGTTACAGTAGCACTAGCTGCAGTATTATTAGATGCAGTAGTACTTGTTGCAGTAGTACTAGTTACAGTAGTACTAGTTACATTAGTACTAGTTGCAGTAGTACTAGCTGCAGTAGTACTAGTTACAGTAGTACTAGTTACAGTAGTACTAGTTGCAGTAGTACTAGTTACAGTACTACTAGTTGCAGTAGTATTAGCTGCCGTAGTACTAAATGCAGTAGTACTAGCTGCAGTAGTACTAGTTGCAGTAGTACTAGTTAAAGTAGTACTAGTTGCAGTAGTACTAGTTACAGTAGTACTAGTTACAGTAGTACTAGCTGCAGTATTATTAGATGCAGTAGTACTGGTTGCAGTAGTACTAGTTACACTAGTACTAGTTACAGTAGTACTAGTTACATTAGTACTAGTTGCAGTAGTACTAGCTGCAGTAGTACTAGTTACAGTAGTACTAGTTACAGTAGTACTAGTTGCAGTAGTACTAGTTACAGTACTACTAGTTGCAGTAGTATTAGCTGTCGTAGTACTAAATGCAGTAGTACTAGCTGCAGTAGTACTAGTTGCAGTAGTACTAGTTAAAGTAGTACTAGTTGCAGTAGTACTAGTTACAGTAGTACTAGTTACAGTAGTACTAGCTGCAGTAGTACTAGCTGCAGTAGTTCTAGTTACAGTAGTACTAGTTGCTGTAGTACTAGTTACAGTAGTACTAGTTACAGAAGTATTAGATGCATTAGTACTAGTTGCAGTAGTTCTAGTTGAAGTAGTACTAGCTACAGTAGTACTAGTTGCAATAGTAATTGTTGCAGTAGTACTAGTTTCAGTAGTTGTAGTAGTATTAGTTACAGCAGTACTAATTGCAGTAGTACTTGTTACAGTAGTACTAGTTGCAGTAGTACTAGCTGCAGTAGTACTAGCTGCAGTAGGACTAGGTGCAGTAGTACTAGTTGCAGTAAGATTAGTTGCAGTAGTACTAGTTGCAATAGAACTAGTTGCAGTAGTACTAGTTACAGTAGCACTAGTTGCAGTAGCACTAGTTGCAGTAGTATTAGATGCAGTAGTACTAGTTGCAGTAGTACTAGTTGCAGTAGTACTAGTGGCAGTAGAACTAGTTAAAGTAGTACCAGTTGCAGTAGTACTAGTTGCAATAATACTAGTTACAGTAGTACTAGTTGCAATAGTACTAGTTGCAGTAGTATTAGTTACAGTAGTACTAGTGGCAGTAGTACTAGTTACAGTAGTACTATTTGCAGTAGTACTAGTTACAGTTGTACTAGATACAGTACTACTAGTTGCAGTACTAATAGCAGCAGTAGTACTAGTTACAGTAGTACTAGTTGCAGTAATACTAGTTACAGTAGTACTAGTTGCAGTATTACTAGTTGCAGTAGTATTAAATGCAGTAGAATTAGTTGCAGTAGTACTAGTTACAGTAGTACTAGTGGCAGTAATACTAGTTACAGTTGTGCTAGTAGCAGTACTATTAGTTACAGTACTACTAGTTACAGTAGTGCTAGTTACAGTACTACTAGTGGCAATAATGCTAGTTGCAGTACTACTAGTTACAGTACTGCTAGTTGCAGTAGTACTAGTTACAGTAGTACTAGCTGCAGTAGTACTAGTTGCAGTAGTACTAGTTGCAGTAGTACTAGCTGCAGTAGTACTAGCTGCAGTAGTACTAGCTGCAATAGTACTAGTTGCAGTTGTACTAGTTACAATAGTACTAGTTGCAGTAGTACTAGTTACAGTAGTACTAGTTACAGTAGTACTAGTTGCAGTAGTACTAGCAGCAGTAGTACTAGCTGCAGTAGTATTAGTTACAGTAGTACTAGTTACATTAGTACTAGTTGCAGTAGTATTAGATGCAGTAGTACTAGTTGCAGTAGTACTAGTTGCAGTAGTACTAGTTAGAATAGTACTAGTTACAGTAGTAATAGTTGCAGTAGTACTAGTTGCAGAAGTTGTAGTAGTACTAGTTACAGCAGTACTAGTTGCAGTAGTGTTAGTTACAATAGTACTAGTTACAGTAGTACTAGTTGCAGTAGCACTAGCTGCAGTAGTACTAGCTGCAGTAGTACTATGTGCAGTAGTACTAGTTGCATTAGTATTAGTTGCAGTAGTACTAGTTGCAGTAGTACTAGTTGCAGTAATACTAGTTGAAGTAGTACTAGTTGCAGTTGTACTAGTTACAGTAGTCCTAGTTGCAGTAGTTGCAGTTGTACTAGTTACAGTAGCCCTAGTTGCAGTAGTTGCAGTAGTACAAGTTACAGTAGTACTAGTTGCAGTAGTATTAGATGCAGTAGTTGCAGTAGTACTAGTTGCAAAAATACTAGCTGCAGTAATATTAGTTACAGTACTACGAGTGGCAATAATACTAGTTGCAGTAGTACTAGTTACAGTACTACTAGTTGCAGTAGTACTAGCTGCAGTGGTACTAGCTGCAGTAGTACAAGCTACAATAGTTCTTGTTGCAGTAGTACTGGTTACAGTAGTACTAGTTACAGTAGTATTAGTTACAGTAGTACTAGTTACAGTAGTACTAGTTACAGTAGTACTAGTTGCAGTAGTATTTGATGCAGTAGTACTAGTTGCAGTAGTACTAGTTGCGGTAGTACTAGTTACAGTAGTACTAGTTTCAGTAGTAATAGTTGCAGTAGCACTAGTTGTAGTAGTACTAGTTACAGTAGTGCTAGTTACAGTTGTACTTGTTACAGTAGTACTTGTTGCAGTAGTACTAGCTGCAGTAGTACTAGCTGCAGTAGTACTAGCTGCAGTAGTACTAGGTGCAGTAGTACTAGTTGCAGAAGTAGTAGTTGCAGTAGTACTAGTTGCAGTAGTACTAGTTGCAGTAGTACTAGTTACAGTAGTACTAGTTGAAGTAGTACTAGTTGCAGTAGTACTAATTGCAGTAGTTGCAGTAGAACTAGTTACAGTAGTACTAGTTACAGTAGTACTAGTTGCAGTAGTCCTAGTTGCAGTAGTACTAGTTGCAGTAGTACTAGTTACAGTACTACTAGTTGCAGTTGTACTAGTTTCAGTAGTACTGGTAACAGTAGTACCAGTTGCAGTAGTATTAGTTACAGTAGTACTAGTAGCAGTAGTACTAGTTACAGTAGTACTAGTTGCAGTAGTACTAGTTACAGTAGTACTAGTTGCAGTAGTGTTAGCTGCAGTAGTACTAAATGCAGTAGTACTAGTTGCACTAGTACTAGTTGCAGTTGTACTAGTTGCAGTAGTTGAAGTATTTCTAGTTGCAGTAGTACTAGTTACAGTACTACTAGTTGCAATAATACTAGTTGCACTAGTACTAGTTACAGTACTACTAGTTGCAGTAGTACTAGTTACAGTAGTACTAGTAGCATTAGTACTAGTTGCAGTAGTATTAGTTACAGTAGTACTAGTTGCAGTAGTACTAGTTACAGTAGTACTAGTTCCAGTAGTACTAGTTACAGTAGTACTAGTTGCAGTAGTACTAGGTGCCGTAGTACAAGCTGCAGTAGTACTAGTTACAGTAGTACTAGTTGCAGTAGTACTAGTTACAGTAGTACTAGTTGCAACAGTAATAGTTGCAGTAGTACTAGTTGCAGTAGTTGTAGTAGTACTAGTTACAGCAGTACTAGTTGCAGTAGTACTAGTTACTGTAGTACTAGTTGCAGTAGTACTTGTTACAGTAGTACTAGTTACAGTAGTACTAGTTGCAGTAGTACTAGTTACAGTAGTACTAGCTGCAGTAGTACAAGCTGCCGTAAGACTAGGTGCAGTAGTACTAGTTGCAGTAGGATTAGTTCCATTAGTTGCAGTAGTACTAGTTGTAGTAGCTGCAGTTGTACTAGTTGCAGTAGTACTAGTTGTTGTAGTACTATTTGCAGTAGTACTAGTTGCAGTAGTTGCAGTAGTACTTGTTGCAGTAGTACTAGTTACAGTTTTACTCGTAGCTGTAGTACTAGTTACAGTACTACTAGTTGCAGAAGAACTAGTTACAGTAGTACTAGTTGCAGTAGTACTCGTTGCAGTAGTACTAGTTGCAGTATTACTAGTTGCAGTAGTACTAGTTGCAGTAGTACTAGTTACAGTAGTATTAGTTGCAGTAGTACTAGTTACAGTAGTACTAGTGTCAGTAGTACTAGTTACAGAAGTACTAGTTACAGTAGTGCTAGGTGCAATTGTTGCAGTTGTTGCAATAGAACTGGTTGCAGTAGTACTAATTGCAGTAATACTAGTTACAGTAGTACTAGTTGCTGTAGTATTAGTTGCAGTAGTACTAGTTGTAGTAGTACTAGTTGCAGTAGTACTAGTTGCAGTAGTACTAGTTACAGTAGTAATAGTTGCAGTAGTACTAGTTGCAGTAGTACTAGTTACAGTAGTGCTAGTTGCAGTAGTACTAGTTGCAGTAGTACTAGTTGCAGTAGTACTAGTTACAGTAGTAATAGTTACAGTAGTACTAGTTGCAGAAATACTAGTTACAGTAGTACTAGTTGCAGTAGTACTGTTTGCAGTAGTACTAGTGGCAGTAGTACTAGTGGCAGTAGTACTAGTTACAGTAGTACTAGGTGCTGTAGTACTTGTTACAGTAGTACTAGTTTTAGTAGTACTAGTTGCAGTAGTACTTGTTACAATAGTACTTGTTTTAGTAGTACTTGTTTTAGTAGTACTAGTTGCAGTAGTACTAGTTACATTAGTACTAGTTGCAGTAGTACCAGGTGTAGTAATACTAGTTAAAGAAGTACTAGTTGCAGTAGTACTAGTTGCAGTAGTACTAGTTGCAGTAGTACTAGGTGCAGTAGTTGCAGTAGTACTAGTTGCAGTAATTGCAGTAGTACTAGTTCCAGTAATTGCAGAAGTACTCGTTACAGTAGTACTAGTTGCTGTATTTCTTGTTGCAGTAGTACTAGTTACAGTAGTACTAGTGGCAGTAGTTGCAGTAGTACTATTTGCAGTAGTAATAGTTGCAGTAGTACTCGTTACAGTAGTAATAGTTGCAGTATTACTTGGTGCAGTAGTACTAGTTACAGTAGTACTAGTTGCAGTAGTATTAGATGCAGTAGTACTAGTTGCAGTAGTACTAGGTGCAATAGTACTAGTTGCAGTAGTAGTGGTTGCAGTAGTTGCAGTAGTAGTACTAGTTGCAGTACTCCTATTTGCAGTAGTTGAAATAGAACTAGTTGCAGTAGTCTTAGTTGCAGTAGTTGCAGTTGTATTAGTTGCAGTAGTTGCATTAGTACTAGTTTCTGTAGTTGCATTAGTACTTGTTGCAGTAGTTTCAGCAGAATTAGTTGCAGTACTTTCATTTGTACTAGTTGCAGTAGTTGCAATAGTACTAGTTGCAGTAGTACTAGTTGCAGTAGTTGCAGTAGTAATAGTTGCAATGGTAGCAACTCTGCTTGTAGTAGTAATTTCATTAGTTGTAGAAGTTGGAGCTGAGATGGCTGAAGTTGAAGCAGTATTTGCAGTAGTAAATGCGGTAATTTCTGTAGTTGCAATAGTAGTAACATTAGTTGCCGCATTGATAGTAGTTTTTTTAGTAGTAGTAGTATTGGTCGTAGTAGTTTCAGTTTTAGTACCATTAATTGCAGTAGTCGAAGCATTAATTGCAATTGCAGTATTAGTGGCAGAAGTAGTAGCAGCAGTAGTTTTAACACTATTTACACTAATAGTTGCTGTAGTTAAAATAGTAGTAAAAGTAGTTCCATTAACAAATTCAATATTTACACTAGTTGTAGAAGTAGCAGCGGTGCTGGTAGAAGTAGTTGGGGTGGTTGAAAAAATGGTCAAAGGTGAAGTGTTATTTCTAATAATAATAGTGGTAATTGATGTAGTATCAGTAGTAGAGGATGTAGTTGTAGTAATGGTTGATTTAGTAATTGAGGAGATAGTGGTAGTCGTAGAGGTGATGTTGGTTATAGTGATTAAAGAACTAATAGTGGTAATGGCTGAAGTTTTTGAAATTGCAGAGGTGGTTAGAGTAGTGACTGTTGATTTAGTAGTTTGGGAGGAAATGATAAGTGTGGTAGTAGTTGTTGTGGTAATAATTGAAGTTGTGGTGGCGGTAGAAGTTTTTGAAGGTGAAGTAGAAATCGGGGTAATGGTTATTGAATTAGTAGTCGCAGACGAAATGGTAGGTGTGGTAGTAGTTGTTGGGGCTCTTATTGTGGTTGTGGTGGTGGTAGACGTTTTTGATGTTAAAGTAGAAATTGGGGTAGTGAAAATGGGAGTAGTGGTGGAGATGGTGGTAGTAGTTGGTGAGGTCTTTGATGTGGTTTGAGTTTTGGTGATGGTAGGAGTGGTTGCGGTGGTGGTGACCCTGTAAACATTTAGAAGTTATTTACATGAATCACGAGTCGTTGCTAAACATGTGACTCACTGTATACACAGATGACAGTATAAATTAATTAGAACACAGTCCCTCATAATAACAAGACTGAAATAAGATATACAAATAAATTTGTATTTGAATAATTCACATTGACATTAGTCATACTAAACAGTCTTATGCTTCAGTCACTGCTCTTATGTAAGTTATAAGCAGAAGTAAGTACATCCCCCCATCTACTTAAATTTCATTTAAAAGTGTTGAAGTGCATCTTTCTTCCCTCTTAAACAAATCTCAGCTATTTATTTCATCCAGTAACATCATCCTGCTCTCATACGTGTGGTAACCTTGAAGAGTGAATCAAATTTGGGTGGATGATTCTCAGTACCCTAAGTAGGTCATACCCACATCAAAGGCAGTTACAACCAATCTTAGAGGTCGATAAATTATATGTCTATCCTCCTCGGACCGAGGCAAAACTCCTTTCATAAGAGGCATAAGTGTGTTTGGGTGTGTCTGTCAGTTATTGTTTTTTTTCCAAACAACGTTTATCTAACAGTGCTAGCCAATGAGAGTTTCTGTGAAAAGACAAAAAATATAAGTTGCCAGTAAATGTATATTTAAGTTAGTGTTATAAGTTTTAAACCATAGTTACAAATAGGACCTTTTAACGTCAATAAATTCTTTTTCTTTATCACTCATAACATAAGCGGCCATTCAGTAACGTGACCAGAAGAGCTTATTTTAGAGGTACAATCTTTACGACACTTACCTTACTAATAATAATGTGAGAATAGTTTAAATTTCCTCAGTATCAATCTTTCTCTTCACTTATTATGTCGATATACATTGGACTTTGTTTTTCAACCATTTTAGATAGAAATAAAGACAGAATAATATTATTAATTTTATTAAAATAGATTTGCGCATACATATATGTATATATAAACATTTACAGCTATTCTTGAGCACTAACCTGGCACACAAAGGATCTCATATTCCCACGGAGTGCACGGAATGGCCAGTTTTGGTCATATAGATAATTATACACTACACAATTTAATATTTCTTCCATCTCTAGTTAATCAATTTAGTATAATTAACATTTTTTAAAGGGGGAAGGAAAGAAGTGATGATAGGATCTACCATGGAACAAACCAGCCAACTCTAATTAAGTCAGATAATCTTCTTTACACATGTGATTTGTGCTGCCTCTCAACTTAGACTGGCTTGAAGAAACATGACTACGACCCCCATCTCTCCAGTATATTGGTCAGTGATTCATCTTAAGGATTTATAATCCATAATCCCTAAGTAATTCATAATCTAATTGCTTATTGTATTGGCAGACGAAATCTGCTTACTTATATGTTATAGCGATAAGACATATCTATGTGTTAATTAACATAAGAAGTTGTTTTCAATTTCTACGGATGCGAGAGACAGGCAGAGTTTGTTCCTCTATCGTCTTCGGTCGTAGACAGACATACCTTGACCCCCAGTTACCTGCGCGAGGAAATGTCGCTCCCGGCTCCTGGGAATCAAGATATTGATGGGGATTAATGAGAGAATTAAAACGTATATTCCCTCACAAAACCCTCCTACCATCATTAAGTATGCTGAAGGACACCATTAGCACAAATAATCATATCGTTTACACTATATATATATATATTTCCTTCACTCCGTGGGAGAACTGAGACCATATGTGTTCAAAGGTTATTTCTTACAAATAGTCGTAAATAAATATATATAAAACCCAAAGTCAATAAAATTAACATGAATACTCAATGTTTTATTCTTCCTTAAAAAAAATCTGAAAAAGTAGTCATAATAAAATCGACAAAATAAGTTTAAAGTGAATCAATGCTCTGGAAATATATACATTTCCCACTTATTATAAGGTGTTTCTATTGCAGAACGTATTGTACTAATATCAGTTTGTTTACTGAATAGGTGCTGTTGTGTTTTTACTTACTTTGTAAGCATAAACCCACAAACACACACACACACACTCACACAGACATAGGGGTAAGGGTCTGGTAGCTGAGCAGACAGCGCGCAGCACTCGTAATTCTGTGGCCTGGGTTCGATTCCTGGACCAGGCAGAAACAAATGGGCAAAGTTTATTTCACCCTGATGCCCCTGTTACCTAGCAGTAAATAAGTACCTGGGAGTTAAACAGCTGTTACAGAGCTGCTTCCTGTGTGTGTGTGTGTGTGTGTGTGTGTGTGTGTGTGTGTGTGTGTGTGTGTGTGTGTGTGTGTGTGTGTGTGTGTGTGTGTGTGTGTGTGTGTGTGTGTGTGTGTGTGTGTGTGTGTGTGTGTGTGTGTGTGTGTGTGTGTGTGTGTGTGTGTGTGTGTGTGTGTGTGTGTGTGTGTGTGTGTGTGTGTGTGTGTGTGTGTGTGTGTGTGGAAAAAAATTAGTTGGTCAGTAGTTAGTAACAGTTGATTGATTGACAGTTGAGAGGCGGGCCGAAAGAGCAGAGCTCAACCCCCCGCAAGCACAACTTGGTGAATACAACTAGGTGAATACTCACACACACACACACGCACAGTGTCTTCGCATGGTATTCTTACACCTAAACGAGAATAACAGAAGCAGTAATTTTACGCCTGTTTACGTAAGATCACATTTACTCTCCTGCATCTTGGGAACCGATGAACTGATAGCACACGTATATAGAAAACACTTACCTTGTCCTGCTAATCAAGGCTATCATCTGCACGACTCAATGTCTCTAAGACCGAGGATGACAACACTGGATGAACTGAGATTAAAAAAAATCGTGTTTTAAGGCTGTTGAGCAGTGACTAAAACAATTTACATAAACATTTAACGTGATTAGTAGCAGTAGTAGTAGTAGTAGGCATCCATCAGTCTAAGGAAACTATGGTGTTGCGTTCTGGTTGTTGGTCTGGAGTGGCCTCACCAGGGCGCAAAGCTAGGGTAGGTTGATATGGAGGAGAAGCTGTTACCAGGCAGCTGCCCCCCCCCCCCCACCCCTCTCCACGGCGCCGAAAGTCTCCAATGGAAAGGCAAACGCCAATACGATTGGTTCCAGCGCCGTCGCAGGAACTGTGAGTTCCGGGGTTGACCTCGAAGTTGGTGAAAAAAGGCACAGGGACTCCTAACCCGGAGACCGCCGTGACCGTAGCCGGAGAATAACCACACCATCAAGGGTATGAATTGCCCCAGCCTCCTGAAGTAGAGCCTGGGCGGCACGAGCCCCAGGAGGTGGACGTCCCGGTCCCGCACCTACGGGTTCCAGACAGAGGTCATCACAGCCCTCCTCACACCCGAGGCCGGCCTCTTTCAGGACCAAGCAAAAGGAGGCTGGGGCAGTTCATACCCTTGATGGGGTGGTTCTTCTCCGGCCACGTCCATGGCGGCCTCCGGGTGGTTACCCGTATTAACAATACGGGTATTAGACGAATGGGAGAGCATCTAGGAAAAGAGGTACAGAAGCTTGAGCTCCAACTGTAGACAGGTGGTAACTGGAAAGTAGCCGTCACAACTGCAAGAAAAATGACAGGTTGGATAACAAGAACTTTTCACACTAGAGATGCTATACCGATGATGATACTTTTCAAAACGCTTGTGCTCTCTAGAGTGGAGTACTGCTGCACAATGACAGCCCCTTTCAAAGCTGGAGAAATTGCTGACCTAGAGAGCGTGCAGAGATCCTTCACTGCTAGAATCCACTCAGTAAAACATCTAAATTACTGGGACCGACTAAAGAGCCTAAATCTGTACTCCCTTGAGCGCAGGCGGGAGAGATACATAATAATTTACACTTGGAAAATAATTGAGGGGCTGGTCCCAAACCTGCACACAGAAATAACACCACATGAGACCAGAAGACATGGCAGGATGTGCAGAATACCCCCGTTGAAAAGCAGAGGTGCAACAGGTACTCTGAGAGAGAACTCTATCAACATCAGAGGCCCGAGACTGTTCAACACGCTTCCACTACACATAAGGGGCATAACTGGCAAACCCCTCACAGTGTTCAAGAGAGAACTGGATAAGCACCTCCAAAGGATACCTGATCAACCAGGCTGTGACTCATACGTCAGGCTGCGAGCAGCCGCGTCTAACAGCCTGGTTGATCAGTCCAGCAACCAGGAGGCCTGGTCGACGACCGGGCCGCGGGGACACTAAGCCCCGGAAGCACCTCAAGGTAGCCTCAAGGTAGGTAGGTAACTGTGTGAACGGTTGAAGAGAAAAGTGAGGTGGATGAACACTATGGGTAATTACAATAGATCGATGAGTGAGAGATAGCAAAGAAAGTTCGTTGAGCTTAAACTCAACCTTGACTTAAAATTGCTGCCTTACACGCTATATTTATTTAAAAAAATGGCTCCACAAAGTTGAAAAATGTTGAATACATATAACGAGAAAACAACCGTATCATATGATGCAACACTTCAACCCGTCCGCCCTGATCTCTCAGTACTCAGAATCAATCCCCATATTCTTCCCCGTGATGATCATAAATGCCTCCCCACGGAAACCAACCCGACGCTTGGGGTGAAAAGGACACCCACCACTCGGCACCAAAATCGTAACCCTCTCCGGTCCAAAATAGGATGGACCTCAGTGGGGTTGGGAACATAGCCAACACATACACCAGGACGGACAGAAGTACCCCTCTACTATTAAGAGTCTCACCTGCAACCGGGGATACGCACGAAGCTCACACTAGCCGACCATCCTCTGAAACTATTCGTCAGAGTTTTAAAGAAGAGAACTATCACACTTGTTGTGGATGTGAATACTTGGCCTGGGGCAATATCCTTCCCGCAGAATCTGAAAATTAATAAAAATTGTCAATACCTCGAAGTTTTCACACCAGGTAATGTCCTCTGAAGTCCTCGAATTAGGTAACTATCCTGGTAGCCAGGTGAGAGTTGCTCTACAAGTTTCACAGGAAACTGCATATAGTTTTTACCATGAACGACACTGTAGCATTGAATGCTCTTATTCAAAATCTGCCATCAAATTTACATAGATTATTATTCGTAGTAACCGATTATTATTAATCGAGAAGCTAAACACATGTTGATGAAATAGGTTAAGAGAAATAAGCTTGAGGAACCCTACAATTTGAGGTTCTTTAACTTGAGTAAATAAAGGCCATAGAGATCATGAAGTATCAACAAAACATACAAAATATTGAAAAAATGTCTTCAACAAAATACTGAGGTCATTATATGCTCATGAAACATAAATTGCATTGTAAAAAAAATATTATTTATACATGCTACATGTGAATATAGATCTCCATTTTTTTTTCAATAATATATTAGGCTTCTCTACAACGTTATTAAATTCAATCATGTTTTCGTGACTCTATCTCATTTATCTTTCTTTACCCATTTACCCTCCAGACTGTAAATCAGCTTACATATCACCGCTGCTAAGGCCATTGGTTGTAATCTCGAGGAAGTCTAAGGAACATCTGAAGGCGTCGAAACAGTAGGGATTCTTTCCAGGAAGTCTAAAGCTGATGAAAGTGACTTGAGGAGAGTAACACTCTGGGGCTTGGATCACGTGTGTGCATGCCATGCCTGTGGAGCAGAAAATTGGTCATTCACCGAGATTACTGCCAGCATTACCTTTAGCACCGCTGGGTAAAGGATGGGGAACCCCAGCGTTCCTGAGTCTCTCTATGCCTCTACCTATCTGCATCTATTATCTATGAAGCTATCTCTGTCGAGCTATCTCTCTATCTAGCTATATTTATGCCTCGTCCCTCTCGTCCTCACCATCCTTTCCATCGTCCTCTATATCCCCTACCGTCGTCCTCCAGTCCCCGTCCCCTCCCTCCTGCTTACCTTAAAAAGCACTGAATGTATATATGGGTCTCTGATGCAAAGCATCAGAGACCCATATATTTTTCTTCTTTCCTTTCTTCTTTCTTTTGCATTAATAATTCAGTAACAATTACATTTTTGCAGTAACACTTGACGTTAATCACACACCATGACTCCATGAAAATGGCCTAAGGGTGGCTATAATTTTTACTTTGAGAAATATTAGCAATTATAAGGATTAATATTTCATTAACCGAGCAAATTTGGGTTAGCCTAGTGTCAGGTGTCTAGCCTCCAACTTTGGACAAACAGGCAGACTGACATGTAAACAAGGAGTTAGAACTCCTACCTTTTTTAAGTTAATATATTGCCCATCCTCTTGTTTAGATAGTACTTATTATAACGATGTGGACCAGCGTACATATATGAATGTAATGGATAGTTAGAAAGTAGAAGTTGGTACTATTGATTAGGGAAAACCCACATAAGGTTTTGTATCTATGTTACTAATAAAATTAACCTAACCTAACTGTCTTAGGATTCATGAATGCTATCTGAGGCCTAGTATATTAACATGTGCTGTACTAGGCCTAGGAATATTTGAGTTTGGTTTTAAGCTTTATTTGTTCAGGACTCCATATAGTGAACACTATTAACCTCTACTATATAATGGTCAATTACGTCAGTATATGTAAGATGTCCAACATAGTTACAAAAAGTACTATCTAAGCAAGAAGATCTGCTGTAATATATATGGTGTAGTGAAACGTATCTTATACTTTGTCCAACATATAGTTATCTGCATAGTTTACATGCCATCTAATGAATGATGATAATTTAAGAACTGTTTATAATTGTCAATTTCTAATAGGTGTTTGTTTTAGTGAAGACAACCATTACATAATATTATCCATCAATATTTACCACATAGAGTGAAGGAAAAATAAAAAAAAAAGTCAAAATGGTTGTGAACATTGGTTCTGTTTAAAACCAAAACCAATGCAACACTGCAGAAACTTCTGAAGCTTCGTGTTTCCACTAGCAGAAAACTCACCTGCTGGGTACTTATTAGGAAAATTGGGAGAGGTAATGGTTCCGGGCGTGGTAATGACACGGGAGCACTTGGAGAGTTGCACATCTGCCACAAAATACATATATTTCGTTACTTACAGTATATATATTGTATATATATAGTATATAATTAGTTTATACTGCTTATCTTTGTGGCTAATAACTTGAAGGGTTTGTTTTACTTGCTTGTTTTATGGTTCTAGTTAGTAAATATTTTGTTGTTAGTTTGTCGTGACTCGTGATCTGTGGCGTGAAGGCCATTCTGATGTGTGTTGTTTTTGTCTTGGTTACTGACTCGTGATAGTATAAGTATTTCTTAGAAAATATCAAGCTGATCATTTTATAAGTGAAGCATCACCGTCAATGAAATACAACCAGTGTGTTTGTAGTCAGTTTATCAATAATGATCATTTATTGAAATTAAAATGTGTTTACATTTAGGTTAGTAACAATTCCATCTTCCTAAATAATATATAAAGCTTCCATTATATGTTCGCATATTTTAATTAGTAATTCCTGAGAGCTAAGATAGATAGGATCACCGAACACTGTGATCATAGTTCATACCTCTTAAAATAGTTCATAGTTATAGTTCTTAGAAACAAGTTACTAACAGAAGCTGTCCTAGTCAAGAATTCCGAACCATATGAGCACATTGATGTTAATGATGTCGTCGTCTTACCGTGATATCCACCAGTAACGGTCTCACACAGGGTGCCAGAAGTGCCAGGAGGACACACACACGAACAGTTGGCACCAAGGTAGCCCCCGTTCTGACACGGGTCAGAGGCCAGATGACACTTTATTATCCAATTATCTGTAAGCAGGTCAGGTTACAAATGTAAATTATATTCACGTCACTCAAAGGATGAGCAAATTTCCAGAAATTCATGGTGTGTTTAGTCTGTTAGCTTTACTCCTACTTTAAAATTAAAGGTAGATTATATATTTTTTCTTCTTAGCTAAAATAACTTATTATCATTCTTATGGCTCGAAACGCTGGGCGTATTAGTGGCTTTGGGCATAATATGTACTAGCTCTATCTAGAAATCAAACATTCTGTTTGTATCTCATCCAGTTAATATGCAATAAGTGGTATGTGGTTCACTTCTTAATGTATATCCCTTAATAATGTCTTAAAAGAAATCATCAGAATCAGGAATATAATAATAAAATTTACATACAATATGTCACCCATGTAAGTTGAAATAACTCGAATATAAGTAACGTTTCATTGTTAATATAACTCATATTAGTATAATTATAATTTGCTATAAAAATCATGCTCTATTTTGCCTCACTCTCGTCATTCTAATATTATGCTATGTTTTGAAAATATAAGTCTCACGCTTTAACTGTAAACTACATGTTTTTACTGCTGTACACCTGCTCGCTCTAACCACATCTGAAATGATTTGTATAAATTAGTTCGGAATGAGGTTACTATATCTAAATACAAATCACACAGCTTGATTATCAATCCCGTATTTATGTAATTTATCACAATACCAATAAATATATATTGCGGTGAATTAATAAATTTAAGTGAGCAAAACCCACACATCTGAAAATAAGGTAACGACGTTTCGATCCGTCCTGGACCATTATCAAGTTGTGTTAGAAAGCGTGGTTGATGGATTAAGGAAGATTAAGCCACCACAAGAGGTGGCACGGGCATGAGTAGCCCGTAGGTGGTAGAAGTTTGGGGTGAATGGGGTCTTTGGTCGTGTAACATCTTAAAGTGTCTATAGGTCTCTGAGGAAGTGTTGTAGTTTGTTGCCATAGATTCAGCTACTTGGAGCTAAAAGTTCCATGTAGAACAGGCTATGGTGAGCCTGTAGTGGACTTACCTGGCACGGGAGCAGGGGCTGTATCTGCCGAGAAAGAGTGCCGGAGAAGATCAATTTATAAGATAAGAATGTGAGGTGAAAGGAGAGAAAGTTGAAGTATATAATAGAAATCAAAGTATACCAATGTAAGGTGAAAGAAGAAAATATATAAGTATACCACAGGAGTTAATAGCATTAAAGAAAACTGCAAAGGGCCTATTGCTGAAAAGTAAAAGGTGAAATAGAGACAAAAGAGATAGCAACATAGAAATAAAAGAAAAAAAGGAGTAGCTGAGGGTCTAACACTAAATCAGCTCAGTTCTATTATTGTTAGAGCATTTACCGGAGCAGGCATAAATGTTACATGTCTAGTGTGGATAATAATTTATTTTCAGTTGGATGTCACTGGCTATGGCTCGTTATGTCTGAGGAAAGAGGTCCTTCATATCATCAAATTTTGAAACCACAACATAAGGTGATTAAATGTAGACAGATACACACACACACACACACACACACACACACACACACACACACACACACACACACACACACACACAAACCCTAAAGGTCCCAGGGTGTAGTCAACACCACACACAAATAAAGAAGTACCATGACAAAGACATTAGCCACACATTCACCTGTACACTTATACATTCTATTAGCCAGCAGCTGGTCGCGGTGAGAGAGACCATCTCGCTGGCCTATGAGTCCCTGGTAGAGGGGGTTGATGGTGCCGATGGTCCGCTTCCCGTTGACTGTGAAGGACTGCCAGATATGTATCAGAGAGTCACCTCCAGCATATATACACGCCAAGTTTATGCAAATGCAAATATAACAGTTATAACTAGATATATTCTAATAACTATATAAAAAATAGCAATATATATATATATATTATATATATATATATATATATATATATATATATATATATATATATATATATATATATATATATATATATATATATATATATTCCATTATATATATATAAGCCATTCAGGCTTGTTCGCATATATATATATATATATATATATATATATATATATATATATATATATATATATATATATATATATATATATATATATGAATGTGTGTGTGTGTGTGTGTGTGTGTGTGTGTGTGTGTGTGTGTGTGTGTGTGTGTGTGTGTGAGTGTGTGTGTGTGTGTGTGTGTATTTACCTAGTTGTGCTTGCGGGGGTTGAGCTCTGGCTCTTTGGTCCCCCCTCTCAACTGTCAATCAACTGATATACAGGTTTCTGAGACTATTGGGCTCAATCATACCTACATTTGAAACTGTGTATGGAGTCTGCCTCCACCACATCACTACTTAATGCATTTCATTTGTTAACTACTCTGACACTGACAAAATTCTTTCTAACGTCTCTGTGGCTCATTTGGGCACTAAGTTTCCACCTGTGTCCCCTTGTTCGTGTTCCGCCCGTGCTAAGGAGTTTGTCTATATCCCCCCTGTCAATTCACCGGAGAATTTTGTAGGTGGTTATCATGTCTCCCCTTACTCTCCTGTTTTCCAGGGACTGGAGGTTCAGCTCCTTTAGTCTTTCCTTGTAGCTCATACCTTTCAGTTCCGGGACGAGTCTGGTGTCATACCCCTGAATCTTCTCTAACTTTGTCTTGTTTTTAACTAGGTATGGACTCAAGGCTGGAGCTGCATATTCCATATTCCTGCACACACACACACACACATATTGTGTGTGTGTGTGTGTGCGTGTGTGTGTGTGTGTGTACTCACCTAGTTGTACTCACCTAGTTGTGCTTGCGGGGGTTGAGCTCTGGCTCTTTGGTCCCGCCTCTCAACTGTCAATCAACAGGTGTACAGGTTCCTGAGCCTATTGGGTTCTATCATATCTACACTTGAAACTGTGTATGGAGTCAGCCTCCATACACTTTGTGTGTGTGTGTGTGTGTGTGTGTGTGTGTGTGTGTGTGTGTGTGTGTGTGTGTGTGTGTGTGTGTGTGTGTGTGTGTGTGTGTGTGTGTGTGTGTGTGTGTGTGTGTGTGCATTTTGTTATATCATAGTAAAAGTAAAATACACCATAGAAAATATATCTTTGCCTGAGCACTTTCGTATTCATCAACACATCATCATCATCAGAATCTTACTGATGTATTGAGGAGCACGAAAGGGCGCTTGCACATAATCTTCATGTATATGAAGTTCTGGCAGTGTATGGAGAACAAATTCGATAGAAGTGCCCTCTAACTTCTAACCCTGGGACCGGAGTGCATAATTGAAGTTAAATCGTATGGTACGTCGAAGTTGGTCGCCGGCTCCTCCGGAAGCACTTCAAACCGTCTCAACATGCTGGGAACGGTGTTTTCTGCGTTGATACGAACGTAATCGTCTCGGTCGGCGCGGGAATGCTGAGGAATGAGGCCCAAGATGTGGCCAATTTGGTGAACCATTGAGCCAAGCTGGATGGAAATATAGATATGCATGAATTGCGCGAAGACTGTGATGAAACAGATTACTTTGAGAAATGCTGTACTAGAGCGCCAGCAATAACCATGAACGAGAAAATAGTTTATAAATGCACCAGAATGAATTCACGTAATTATGTAGCAAAAAGAGAAAAAATACTTAACATCACAGATGACAATTTCAGGAATTATTACTTATTTTGTATCGGAAAGAACTCTTATTGTGTGGAGGTAGGGACAATCTAGCGCACGAAGAACTTCACATACTTCCAGACAGCTTGCACCAATGGAGACTTCAAGAGTTGTAGGCGAGATGCTGGCGACATTAGGACAGCACCCGGCCTTTGCTCTGAGCTTCAGGTGAGGCTGTGAAGTGGTGGTGCTGCTGTTGATCTCCTTGAACTGTACGCAGGTGTGAAGCATCCAGTGCTTCATGCCGGCAACCATTGAACTTCTGTAGGGTGAACCTGCACCACACGCGTCCTTTTTTAATATATTGATAATGTAGTTTCATAAAATAACGAACGTAATTTAAAAGTGCATATTTAAATTATTAAAAAAAATAGATGCTCTTTGTTTAGTATTGCTAAGTTTCAGAATACGTTTAATAGTTCCAAAATATTATAAAAAGCATATAAATATTTTTTTGTTTACAAATCCTAGCAGTGCATTGAAAGTTTAAAAATGTATGTACATTGTTACTTTGTTCGGGGAGGGAGGGGGAAACATTTGTATTTCGAATAGCAATGTGGTATATGCAGAGTGATGATCTTATGTTGTCATAAACGAATACCTAATGCAAGATTGTCCCCAAGATTGTCACCAATGTCTCTGAGAAAGAACTCTATCAACATCAGAGACCCGAGACTGTTCAACACGCTTCCACTACACATAAGGGGCATAACTGGCTGACCCCTTACAGTGTTCAAGAGAGAACTGGATAAGCACCTCCAAAGGATACCTGATCAACCAGGCTGTGATACATACGTCAGGCTGCGAGCAGCCGCGTCAAACAGCCTGGTTGACCAGTCTAGCAACGAGGAGGCCTGGTCGACGACCGGGCCGCGGGGACGCTAAGTCCCGGAAACACTTCAAGGTATCCCGAGCCCTTAACAGTCGCCAGGGAACAGATCTCAAGCCCCTGACTGCTGTCAAGGAACAGAAACACAGCCTCTGGTTACCTCCAGGGAACTATCTACCAAGACTTACAACTACTCGCCTACTCACTTACCTTTTGCCCCGACCATTGCAGCTGACTATAATTTACTAAACGCTACTTTGTCATTCTATAACACATGTAAAAACATATTTCCCCACATTGCCAAAATACTATAATATAGTTATATGAATTTATTGAGTAATTCCACCTATCAGTGGCGTTAGGTGGAACAAATCCCTACCTACACCTGAGTGATGAACTGTTCATAGTGTTATTTCATGCGAAGTTTTGACGTACCTGGACTCATGAATATATATGGTATAATTGGAGGGCCATTGGGTGATTGCCGCCAGCGGTTCATAGAGGCATCTATAAAATGCCTCACGCTAATTCCTCCACACTGTACAACCGTTGTCTTCCTGCAGCTGTCGAAGAGTTTGTCTTGTTTGTCCTGTTTCTCCAGGTCGAGGGCAGCTCGCTTCCAGTCCTCGTTCTGGGGAGGGAGAGTTTTGGCCATCTCATTAAATAAACTACACAGTATATGATTTCCCAGTTGCACTTACCAAAGTGTACTTACCTACGCTTACTTCCCTAATTATTACTCAATCGTACTTTCCGAATTTTCCATGCAGAATCCACCTTTATGTCTTGGCTATTCTGATGTTGATCATATAATCAAATTACTTCAGATCCTCCATTTTGTTTAAACATACATGCTTCTATGACTGGGAATAGTGCCAAAAGCTACTATTTTGTTTAATTCTAATTTTTCACTTCCTTCGCACAATATAAATGTTTGTCTTCCTTCTTTGAACTCTTTAGCTATAAGTTCCTTTAAAAATCATATGTCATGACTATATCCCCCACAATCTTTGCTTTTCATCAGTATTGTATGGTCAAGCTCCATTTAGGTTTTTGCTCCCAAACAAAATACCATAGACGCTAAAAGGTAGCTCAAACGATTAAGGCAGCGTCTGGGATCTTCTCGGTCGTAGGTTCGAACCCTCGTCACGGCCCTTGAGGATTTGCTCATTGCATAATCACTTTTGTTTTATATTCAACTTTTCTCCGCTAAAAGAAGAACTTCTAGACTGCTGAAATAGGGCTAATGAGGCACCAGTGAACAGGAAAGGAAGGGGTTAAGATCCACTATAAAAGAAACCAGTTTCAATACCAAGTGTTAAAAACATGATCCAAAATTACGATCCCCAGGCGCAATCCCTTCGCCTCTGAATGGATGACGCCTGAGGTTCGTAGTTCTAATGACCAGGGTTCGATTCCCGGCGGAGGCAGAAACAAATGGGCAGAGTTTCTTTCTTCCTGAGTCCAACCACTTGGGCTGGACGGTAGATACAGTCTCGATTAATGCAGGTTGCATTCAATCTCCGACCGTCCAAGTGGTTGGGCACCATTCCTTTCCCCCTCACCGTCCCATCCCAAATCCTTATCCTGACCCCTTTAAAGTGCTATATAGGCGTAATAGCTTGATGCTTTCCCCTGATAATTCCCTCCCTCCTGATGCCCATGTTCACCTAGCAGTAAATGGGTTCCTGGGAGTTAGTCAGCTGTCACGGGCTGCTTCCTGGGGTGTGTGTGTGTGTGTGTGTGTGTGTGTGTGTGTGTGTGTGTGTGTGTGTGTGTGTGTGTGTGTGTGTGTGTGTACTCACCTATTTGTGCTTGCGGGTGTTGAGCTCTGGCTCTTTGGTCTTGCCTCTCAACCGTCAATCAACAAAAATCAACCGCCCAACGTGGGGCTCGAACCCACGACCCCGAGATTAAGAGTCTCGTGCTCTACCGACTGAGCTAGCCGGGCCATTATATTTGTGTGTGTGTGTGTGTGTGTGTCTGTGTGTGTGTGTGTTTACTAGTTGTGTTTTTAGTTGTGTTTTTACGTGGGTTGAGCTTTGCTCTTTCGGCCCGCCTCTCAACTGTCAATCAACTGTTTACTAACTACTTTTTTTTTTTTTTTTTTTTTTTTTTTTTTTTTCCCAACCCCACACACACACCCCAGGAAGCAGCCCGTGACAGCTGACTAACTCCCAGGTACCTATTTACTGATAGGTAACAGGGGCACTTAGGGTGAAAGAAACTTTGCCCATTTGTTTCTGCCTCGTGCGGGAATCGAACCCGCGCCACAGAATTACGAGTCTTGCGCGCTATCCACCAGGCTACGAGGCCCCTATGTGTGTGTGTGTGTGTGTGTGTGTGTGTGTGTGTGTGTGTGTGTGTGTGTGTGTGTGTGTGTGTGTGTGTGTGTGTGTGTGTGTGTGAGTGTGGTGTGGAAAAAAAAGTAGTTAGTAAACAGTTGATTGACAGTTGAGAGGTGGGCCGAAAGAGCAAAGCTCAACCCCCGCAAACACAACTAGGTGAATACAATTAGGTGAATACACACACACACACAGAAGACAGAAGAGTTAGAGGGGGACATGATCACCACATAAAAGATTCTCAGAGGAATCTATAGGGTAAATAAAGACAGATTATTTACCACAAGGGGCACACGCACTAGGGGGAGACAAGTGGAAATTGTGTGCCCAAATGAGCCATAGAGAAGTTAGAAAGATTTTTTCAGTATCAGAGTAGTAGACAAATGGAATGCATTAGAAAGTTATGTGGTGGAGGCTGACTCCATACACAGCTTCAAGTGTAGATATGATAGAGACATATGTACTATCTCTCTTCCTCTTACCTTAAACTTTTTCCAGTCTTAATTATTCTTAATAAACCAAGCAAATATATATCTCTAGATAGTGCTGAGAGTATATACCAAAACGTGAGTGAGATTATTAGACCGGCCTTGTTGGAGATTATACCTGACAACCATAATCCGTTGTCAAGGGATTAAGCCCCCTGACAACGTCACGGGGATTGTCCCTATCCCTATCCCCCCTGCCCCTCCCAAAGGTGGGAGAGGATGGGGAGAGGGTAAGTTACCTCAGCATGAGAGTCCACAGCCACCAGACTGGCCACAGCCAGACACCACAACACTAAAGGGACCATGTTGACACTCTCACAGCTGATTTGAAACTGTAGCTAGGAGCAACTCTCTCTCCCTCCAATCACCGACGACTTAATGAGGTGAATAGCTAATTTGTTCCTGCTCCCACAAGGAAGTATTATTGGATAATTTATTTCAGAGTTCGTGTTATTTGAAGGCTTCAGTATTTGCTTCGTTTCACAAAGAGCAAATATTAAAGTGTTGATAGAAATGCAGTTTGTCATCCTTGAAAACTGCATATCTTGAAATATTTGAGCCAGAAATTATGTACAAATTTGACTGCAAACCAACAAGCAGATCTGTATGTCTGTCGGTCTCACTAGTCTCTCTCTGTATGTCGGACTGTCTCTGTCAGTCAGTCTTGCTGTCAATCTCTTTGTCAGTCACTCGATCGGTCTCTCGTTGCCATCAGTTTTTGCATCTCCAGACATATGTTGTCCCTACAGGTTAGATATCTTCAGGTTCCACAGTAGGGATCGCTGCTGCCTCGCTAGGACGACGTTTTTTTTTTTTGAGATATATACAAGAGTTGTTACATTCTTGTACCGCCACTAGTACGCGTAGCGTTTCGGTCAGATATCCCCTGCTTCCATCCCTACATCATCTGCTTCCATCTCTACATCATTTCCTTCCATCCCTACACCATATACACCAACTCACAGCCAACTAGGGGAGACATGATCACTCCCTACAAAATCCTCCACGGAATTGACAGAGTAGATAAGGATAAACTGTTTAACACTGGTGGTACGCGAACAAGGGGACACAGGTAGAAACTGAGTACCCAAATGAGCCACAGGGACGTTAGATAGAACTTTTTCAGTATCAGAATTGTTAACAGGTTGAATGCATTAGGCAGTGATCTGGTAAAGGCTGACTCCATGCGCAGTTTCATCTGAAGATGTGATAGAGCCCAGTAGGCTCAGGAATCTGTACACCAGTTGATTGACAGTTGAGAGGCGGGACCAAAGAGCCAAAGCTCAACCCCGGCAAGCACAAATAGGTGAGTACAAATAGGTGAGAACAGCCGATCGGAGAGCGGTTTGGGAATCGCGGTCCAAAGGTACAAAAAGACTTCTATTCAAGACTGTTTTAAAGAACTCTTTGAAGGACCGAAACGTCGTCGTCCCTTCAACTTCTAGTGTGGTCTGGTCAACAACTCTTTGAAGACTCTCTGACTCTTTAAAGCTGGTTCGCTTACCGGCTAACTCAGAAACAAATGGAGAGAGCGTCCTTCACGTGACGCCCAGGTACACCTAACAGTAAATAGGTTGCGTCGCGCAGCGTCCACATTTAATATTTAATTAGCCTTATCCTTTGGACTGGACGGAAGAGCGACCGGTCTAGCTTCTGGCCGGTCGGCGTTCAATCCCCAGACCTTCCAAATGGTTGGGCAGCATTCCTTCCTACCCCAAATCCCTATCCTTATATCCGTTCCAAGTGTGCTGCTCTCTGTATAGTTCCATTCCTTCCAAGTGCCCTATATTCGTAATGGCTCATAGTGCTTTATCCTGATAATTACCTTACCATACCTGCGTTATACATTGCTTTCACCCGACGTTTATCTCCTACTTCATTGCCTACGCCATCGCTTGCTTCCTTCCTTACCTCAGGAAAGGAAGTATTATTGGATAATTTATCCAATTATTTATCCAATAATATTCACTAATATCCAATTCTCTAGGTGATAATCGTCTTCAACCTACTTGACTCTCCCTTCATATCAGGCTTATTTTCCCTCAATCTGAACTTGACTTTCTAATGATCATCTTAGATGCCACACAATACTTTTCCTTACCATTTGAAGAGATAATACAATATAATACATATAATAAAAACAACAACAATAATAATAATATTAGTACAATATTGATAATAATAATAATAATAATAATAATAATAATAATAATAATAATAATAATAATAATAATAATTATAAAGTCAACTGGAGCAATTAGGTGACTTGAACTAGCGATCAAGGCACTCCCAGCCCCGCTCCTTACCACTGTACCACAATATAGATACGTTATACATCCTGGGATTAAACTGAATCCTCCGGAAATCCGGAAGCCTGTCCAAGTTTTATACATATAAATTCCATGCTCTCTTGTGTAATTATAATGGGTCGTGAATCGCAAGCTTCAGCCTTAGATACACAAAGAACTCACACGAACGTTATATATCAGTGAGAAAATGATATTAATTATAATAATTAAAATTAAAATAATATTAATAATAATGGTAATATATAGAGAATAATCGGAAACAGCGGAGAACGAAGGAAAAAATATGAATAATACTAAACTAATTAACAATAATAATGGTAACATTAATAATAATGATTATTATTAATGTACAATACACATATCTTTTAATAATAATATCTTTAACAATAAATATAATTCATTCCGCCAAAAAATGGAATTTTTGCAATATGTTGTTGTGGACGTGTTTGCCAAACATGAAACATGTTTGTTGTTTCATATATTCATGTTTGTGTGTTCTATGTATGTGTTTGT